TTTTTTTTTTTTTTTTGGTTTTCGTGTTTTTCAAAAAGAAAGAAAAAACCATCCGGTTTCTGATCTGCCAGCGTGTGTGTTGGTCGAGTCCTCCCTGCAGATCAGTACCTGGGCCCCTCTATTTCTTCCTCTTCCATTGGAGCACTGTGATAATGGAATGTGAAGGCAGAAAGAGAAAAGAAATGCAGCTGCTATTCCCGCCGCTGCTTTAGCTACAAATAAAATGACAGAGTGAAGCGAGCTCGTCCGGAGACACCTTCATCAATTAATTCCCCTAAAGCCAACGCTGATTGGACACTCCTGACAGGTGATGCAATAAAAATTGATATTCCACCCCTTCCCCCCAAAATCTCCTACTAATTAGCATACCCTTATACTGCCACCTCCCCTCCCAAAGTAAATAATACAGTCGGTATATAAATCTTTCCATTAAACTGTTGGAGCTCAGAAACAGCCTGACTCAGAGACTTCAGGAGAAGCCGTGTGTGTGTGTGTGTGTGTGTGTGTGTGTGTGTGTGTGTACGCTTGAAAAAAGAGAGCCACTGTATATTCCCTTTTAAAGAAATATTGTCTATTTTTGCATTATTTGCATTTCACCGATACCGCTATTATCGTTTCAAAGAAAAGCATTTAAAAAAACATTATCAAGCCTAGATAGACCCCCACCCCCCTTTTCCTTTGGAAAATGGAGCTGAAGGGAAAATGTGCAGAACAGCCTGGTATTTCCCTTATGGAAGTGGGGAAGGAGACTGCAGCTCCAAAGTTAAACCGCGCCGTGAACCACCCCAGTACACACTTACGTTTGGAATTTCTCTCGATTTTCCTTTTTCCCCCCCTGAAATGCCTTTTTTTTACAACCAGAAACAAAGTTATTTGACCAAGGAAGCAGTTCAAGGCTCCAACTCCAAAACACTAACGATTCTGCGGGATTTTGGTTCTCTGCTGGGGGGTGGGGTGGGGTGAGGAGGAGGTAGTTTCACGTCAGACCCATAACAAAGCATAGATAAGCCAGAAATGTGTACACTTTTCACAATTAACCGGACTGTTTGGAGGCGGGATCGTCCTGGAGTCTCCAACACAGCCTATGCCAGCGTCCTGTTCAGGATAGGTCAGAATTCCAGGGAGCAGACTGCTTCCTTGTGCAGCAAAGAAAAGAAAATGTAAAACACCCAAGGTGCTTCCAGAGGTTTTACGTAATAACGATGAAAAGAAAGTGCTGAAGTACAATGCAGACTTTTTTCGTGGTCTGGGATGCCTGAGTTGGTAGTTTAGGTGAATCTTCCACAACTCCCATTTTGTTTTTCCATGAAATCCAAGCATCTGCTTTCACAAAATCACCTTGGATGAATATCAATATGGTTTAACCTCTTCTTAGTCAAATTGAGGCATAGTTTGCTGTCGTTTTTCAAGGATATCCAAAATATTGCCAAAGGAGAGGAAGAATCTTCGTACTTGTATTACCAGGATCCCAAGGCGCTTTGTTGGCTGCTTTGCAGAATTAGGCAAAATCTTCTTAACTGTTCAGTGTTTGCAATTACAGCATAGATGCAACCCAGGCATTTATATATTTCCTTCTTCCTCCAAAAATAGACACATCCCTGTGGTTAAAGAATAAACGGATATTTCCGAGCCTGTAAGGAAAAAAATTGTACAATAATTTCTTCACGTTCAGAAGTTCTAGTCCCCCTTCCCCCCCGTGGCTAGCAGGTATTACCAGCACCCCCCCCCAAGAGAATCAGATATACAGAAAGGTATTGCTTGACAAGATGAAATCTCTTGGCCATAGTTCCCCACCCCCACCCTCATCTCCCTTGTAATTTCCCAGGAATTTTGAAGATAATTGGGAATTTCAAGAAGTACATCCGGAAATTAAGGAAGTCTATTTAAGAGAGTCTGTAACTCAGGAGGTTGGGATTTGAAAAGTCAGCCCTGGACTACTGTTGCACTCAGCACAGATGTAATCGCCGCTCTTCAACTTAATCAATGTGTGTACAAACCGCGATGTCTAGTTCTTGCCTTTGAAATCTAAGGCAAGCATTTCCATCCAAGAAATCAGAGCTACAGCAAATTACATTTTTGTCCCTTGAATGAGAGAAGGATCATTGAATGGATCTCGTGATATTTCAGGCTTTAAACGTAACCGAGAGGCAGCAATGAACAATGCCTCGTCACAGCTAATACCATCCACGGAGTTGGCTTTCTTTTGCATCTGGATCTATCACAACGCGTTTTTCTCTTTCACTTTCACAGGAGGCAAAATGCACAAGGTTTAAGCAGAAAGCGAAGTTTCCAGGAAAAACAGATGCTGATGTTTGTTTTTAAAAGTAGAATGACCAGGTCTTTCTATTGCCAGCAACAATAATGTTTTAAAATTCCTCCTGATGCACTTATATACTGCCAGCCCACTCCCTCCCACCAACCCCCGCCCATTCCCCTCCTCCAGCTTTAAAATGTAGACCGGGGAGTCAAACAGCCAAGAAATAGTAAACTCAAAAAAAGCCTCTGAGAAGACATTACAAAAGATGGTTTAGGAGAAAGGAAAAAAAAAAGATTGGCTAGAGCCTACTTTTTTTTTTTTTTTTTTTTTGCCCAGG